CAGCGTTGGCCTGGGGGGGGGGGTCGAGGGGCATCATCAGTGACCCTGGAGAGGGTGGCCGTGTGGGGACGGGGAGGAGCCAGATGGCTGTGGGGTGAGGAGTAAATGGACTTGCTGAGTGTGCACCCTGGCGCTGGCAACACTGCGGCGAGGGATGCAGACAGGAACCATCTTGGCAGCGATGCCCATCTGCATTTAGCTCCTGGTGGGGGTGGAGCCATGGAGGGCTACACCTTGAGGGTCCTATGAAAGGGGATTTGCCCAGTGATGCCACCAAAGAAGTGGAGGGGAGCGTCCCCGGAGCCCTGGGCGGTGAGGCCTCAGCCGCAGAGGAAGGAGGTGTCCCCTGGTCCAGGAAGAGGGACGAGATTCAGGGAGGGCTCCAGACGGGCAGTTCTCTGCTCCTAAGAGTGCCGGCCACGTGGGGGGTGTCCCTGAGGATCACCTTGGTATTTGTAGCCACATCAAGGGACTGGCATGGCAGGAGAGGGGTTAGTAGGAAGCCATGGCCAGTGAGCTCCTTACTGACCCAGAGAACATGGAGCTCCAACTCAAAGACGCCTGGCAGATGGCTCTCGTCCCTCTCCCTGACACGGACCCCCATCCCTGGCGGGCGGCACTTGCAAACCAGGTAGAGGACCCTTCTTCTGGCCCCTCCTGAATCAGTAAAATCGGGGCAGGGCCACACCAGCCGCTCCGCCCTCAGTTCTTCTGCCTCATCCCTGCTCCCTGCCCTCATCCACGGCACTGGCCACGCCGGCCTCCCTTCCCCCCTGCTCAGCCGCTCACATCAAGCCCTCACCTCCCCAAGTCTCGGGTCCGCTGTCCTCCACGAAGCCTGAGACCCACCCCCATGACCCTGTTTACGGTCCCAACCCTCCCCATCCCGGACCCCCGCCCCTTTCCTGCACTGCTGCTCTTCTCCGTGCCCTGTCCTTTTCACCACCGAACTTTCTGTATCGCAAGATCTGTCGTGCCTCCATCAGGCTCTCCCGCTCAACTGGCAGCCCGCAAACGGCAGAGAATTTATCTCGTATTGTTCCCTGACGCCTCCCAAATGCTCCGGGCAGGCGCTGGCCCTCGACAGAAATTAGTTGCGGGAATAGTGGGTAGAAGATAAAGGCCCTGCAGCAAAGCGTTCTTCACCACATCCGTCAGGCCTGGCGTGAACATAAGGACATTTATTTTCAGTGATTTACTGGCTAGAGGAGAGAGAGAAGGAATACGTACCGTCACCTGCGTGTCAGACACTTGGTCATCATTAGTTCATTTGATTCTAACGTCAACCCCAGGCCCAGAGAGGACTACGCACTGAGCAGACTTACTGACGGCGGGGAATCCTCTGAGGTCCACACCAAAGCCGGGTTCGGACGTGCGCGTCTCAAATACAGACCCCGTGCTCGGTGCACTAGGCCACAAGGCATTGGGGACCATGGGGAAGCCCATCAAGGTCTCAGAAGTGTCCTGGCCGGCTGGAACTTTTCTGTAGGACATATTAACGACAGCCCTTCAACCACACACACACAGAGGACGTGGGAGCGCTTGGTGGTCCTTACCGGGTCCCGGCCCCGAGCAAACCCACTTCGGAGACTGGCCGCATGTAATTACAGCTTGTGGAAGTCGGTGCCGGGAGTCACGTGGCAGCCCCATCCCTCCTGCCCACTCTCTAATTAGACTAGAAACGGCATCTGTGCTTTGGTCCTGGCCAAGAATGAAGAGATGTGGCTCTTGCTGGAAATGGGCCCCCTTCGCAATCCTACGTGGTCCTGAGGGGGGTGGGGAGGCCACACGCCATGCGTCTGTAGGCTCTGACCGGCCAACAAGGCCGTGCCCTAGCTGGCCTCAGCCACCGGCTCAGGTCCCCCGAAAGTGAGAAAGCAAGCACAGTCTCGGGGGCACACAAGCAGACCCTTCCCTCTGGCTCCCTCGCTGGAGAGCTGTTCAGACTCTTCTGTGTTCCAGGCCTTTCTCCTAGCAGTGCCAGGGCTTGAACTCTTAAAAGCCACCTAGTCATGGAAATAGTTTCCAAAGGGCTCATGAAGGGGCATTGCCCTTTCGATGGGGCCAGTCATTCAGCAGTGACAGGAAAGAGGGGTTCCCGATGGGACCAGCGTCGATGAGGCCTCTTAGACACAGGCTTCCATGACCCACCTGGGCAGGACCCAGGGTTGAGTCTATGAACATCTAGCAGCAATAGCACACATTATGCTGAGAAGCTTGGAAGTATCGCCTCGTTTAACAGCATGACAGTTTTATGGAGAGGGTAGTATTACTGTGCCCATTTTACAGAGGAGGAAACAAAGGCACAGGGAGATTGAGTAACTTGCTGAAGGTAAAACGGCTGGTATGTGGCAAAGCTAGCATCCAAGTCCAGGTCTCGTGAACTCTGGGGATTGGAGCCCAAGAGGTTGGACTCCAGTGTCTACTTGCAGCTTCGAGCCTGTATGGTATCATCACTAATCATCTGTCCGGCACGCTCACTGAGAAGCCACAACTGAGTGCCATCCTGAGCACCGTGTGCCACTTTTGCTGCATGGTAATTCTGGAGCAGTCAAGAAGCCAACACTGCCAGCAGCTGGGGACTGAGCACAGCTTCACGAGGGTGTGCGGGGCCCCTGCCCTAGCCCGGGAGCAGGTTAATAATACTCACATCTATTGACAGTGTTCCCAGAACTGCGCGAAGCCCTTTCTACACATGTTGTGTTGGAATTTGGCAGCAGTTCTGTGCAATTTTCCAATTCATGCGGTGATTTTGGTACGTTGGTGAAATACGCATGCTAAATGGCAGTCGTTGGAGATGTGCGCATGGGTACTGATGTTTCTGTTATAAAATATCCCAAAAACTCAGACAAGGGCAGAGAATACTAAAATGCAGTTTCTTTCTCCCCTGAACTACTAGTAGGTTATGAAGTCCGTCAAAGAGATTGTGCTTGCACGCAAGTATTTTGAGCAGACTAGCTTAGACTAGAGTAGGGTAGAGTGGAAACTATCCGGTCTGTCCTATATGGTAAGTCATGAACATGAAGGTGCTTCATGAACATTATGTCGGGTCTGTGTGTGTTTGTGTGTGTGTGTGTGTGTGTTCTAATGTATGAAATGTCTTTCTTACTATAGGTCATGGTCAAAAATACTTGAGAGACACCTGGGTGGTTTGGTTGGTTAAATGTCCGACTCTTGATTTCAGCCCAGGTCCTGATCTCAGTCATGGGATTGGGCCCCGCATCAAGGCTCTGCAGATTCCAAGTGGAACCTCCTTGGAATTCTCTCTTTCTCTCTCCCTCTCTCTCTGCCTCTCTCTATGTGCGTGCTCCCTCTCTCTCTCTCAAAATAAATAAATAAGTAAATAAATAAATAAATATTTTTGAAAAATACTGGAAAGTCATTGATACAATGAATACTGTTGTATTCACTATTCATTTTATTTTTAAAAATTTTTTTAACATTTATTCATTTTTGAGAGACAGAGAGAGACAGAGCAAGAGCAGGGGAGGAACAGAGAGAGAGGGAGACACAGAATCCAAAGCAGGCTCCAGGCTCTGAGCTGTCAGCATGGAGCCCGATGTAGGGGCCCGAACTGGCGAACTGTGATATCATGAGCTGAGCTAAAGTTGGACGCTTAACTAACTGAGCCATCCAGGTGCCCCTTCACTGTTCATTTTTAACAGATATTAATATTTTGCCACATTGGCTTCAGATCTTCTTCCAAGAAACACACATTATAGATAGAATTAAAAAGATGCTGTCTTTGAATGCCTCCCTGCCCTCCATCCCTCACGTCCCCTGAGCTGATGGACACGGCTTTAATCAGTTATTCCACTAATTGGTCTGGCTTCTTCCGGGTGAGCCAGGCTGAGGTCTGCCCCCCAGGATGGGATGAAAGAATGTCTCAGACAGGAAGGGTTGCTTCCTGATCTTACCCAAGCCTCAAATTCTAATCACAGGTCCTATACACTTGGAAATGTTTAGAAAAACAATTTAAACATACGAGGGTGTCTTGATGAGTGTATTTCGCTGTTGACGTAAGAGCCTAGAAATATGTAAACACGCAGCATAGGATCACCCAGGGGTCTGGGCCTCACACTCAACAACTGCATCACTGACACCCTGCTGCCCCTTGTCTTCAAAAATGGGGAAACCGAGTCCTGGGAGGGGGGAGATGTCGTCCCAGATGGCCCTGATGCAGAGAACAGGAATGTCTGGATGGGGAAGGAAGGAAGGAGGGAGGGAGGGAAGAATGAGAGAGAAAGATACTCAGACACGCCTCCCAAGATGCTGCATGCCTGCCCCCCAGCCCATCCCTCTCAACCTGCTCTGTTCCCTTCATGGCCCTGGAACCTTGATAAACTGTATAATTATTTGCTTCCCGCCTCCGCCCACCAGGACGCGAGGCCCATGAGACCAGGGAGCTTCATCAGCATGTCCACGGCTGGGTCCTGGGCCCGGCATGCAGCTGGCTCTGGACGCAGAGGGTGACCCTGTGCGTAAATGTGCAGGGAGCACTCTGCTGACTGATCGAGTTGGTGATGAAGCTCAAGTTAGCAAAACCGAATGATAGGCTGGCTGAGGGGGTGAGAGGATCAAGCACAGGGTGACCCCTACCAGCTTCCTATAGTGGCTCACATTTATTGAGCACCCACTGGATGCCAGGAGCCCACTTGGAGTGCTTCACATGTGTTCTCCATTTTGGTTCATTGTGTCTGTTTCCAGGTAGGGAGGGGTGGGCACAGAGGGCCATGGCCGCCTGGTGGAGGTCACACAGCTAGTGCTGGGATTCGAACCCCAGAGGCCTGGCTCCAGCATGGCTGTGCTTCACACCATGTGCCACTGCACAGAGAGAACTTTCTAGAACAAGGTTTGAGGGATACTGACTCCAGATTTCCAGAATCTGACTAAGGCATTTTCTTTCCCTTTCCTTCCTTCCTTCCTTCCTTCCTTCCTTCCTTCCTTCCTTCCTTCCTTCCTTCCTTCCTTCCTTCCTTCCGCTCTCTCTCTCTCTCTAGCAATTTGAGGAAAGTCAAGGCCGGACGAGTAGCAAAACAGCCTTTTACCAGGCACTACAGAATTCGCTGGGTGGTGAGGAAGCGGATGCCGCGGTCCGGGCAGCTGCCACGTGGTACTATTCCCTGGAGCACTCCACTGATGACTATGCCTCCTTCTCCCGGGCCCTGGAGAATGCCACCCGGTAAGCCGGAGGGGACGCGGGCTCCTACTGTCACACTGGTGCAGGCCTCGGTGATGCTCGGGTCACACATGAGCCCTGGACTGTGCTGGGAAGGGACGGCCTGAAGGGTGTTGATACCCGCTGGCCGGCTGGGTCTCCCCATCTGGGAGTCTGTGGTTCCCAATCACAGAGTCACTAGCGCAGGATGAAATGGGGCCCCTCCCCTGGGATCCTGGGGGCCAGAAAGGCTTTAATCTCCCCTCTAGCGGAGAGCTCTGCTTTCAACCCTGCAGCCAGCAGCTATGCCTGGAGGCCCAGCCTCAGCCTGGACGCTAAGAGCTCAGAGATGTCCAAGTCCTGGACGCTGAGAGGCTCCTAACCCCGTCAGGACTGGCTCAGATCTGGGCTGTTGACAGAGCTCAGGAAGGGCTGGAGTTTAGAGACTTAGCTTTTCTCCAACTTTGCCTCTAACTGGCTGTGAAGACATCCGTGCCCTGGGGCAAGAGCTGAGGTGTGAGGGAGGGCAGGTAACCAAGGAAGGGCTCACCGAGGGACGCCAGCCCCCTCTTCGCTCAGGCCGTCATGGCCCCCCGGCCTCTCCCCGGCAGCGCCCCTCCACCAGCTGCGAGGTGTGACTCTTTCCCGCAGGTCTGATACCATCCCGGCCCTGCTCACCACCCCTCTTCTTCAGGAGATGAAGCATGGCTGCCTCCTGTGCCCTTCCAGCCCGTGGTGACCCCGCCCCACCTCAGAGCCTTTCCTATAAACACTCTCACCGCCCTCCAGACTCAACAGAGGGGTTCATCTCAACAGCCAGAAAGAGTGGACGCCCCACTGCACTGAGGGACTCACATGGCTGTTACCGGCCTCAGTTGTTGAAAGGTCCCTACAGGGCGGGACCCATAGGCGCCATTTCTCAGCTGAGGAGATGGAGGGTCAAGGAGATACAGTGTCGCCGAGTGGGGTTCAGAGGCTGGTGGACCCAAGGCCCCCCGGGTCTGTGGGCTTCTGATCAGGCCTGCCCCCTTTTGCAGCTCGGCCCTCGAGCCCCAGCCCACACACGGCCCCACCGTTGCAAGCTGGGGCTTCTGAAACATCTTCCCATCGTCCCCAGAGTGGGAGCAGATGTGACGCGTTGGGATTCTAGAACAGGGTTCTTAACCTCCTCACTATAGACGCTTAGGGCTGCATGACTTCCTTCCCGTGGGGTCTGTCCCCACATTGTGGGTTATTTCGCAGCCTTCCAAGCCCCTCCCCACTAGATGCCCATAAGAACCTTTTCATCTCCAGCTGTGACAATCAAAAATATCTCCCAAACATTGCCAAATGTCCCCTGGGCATGGAGGGTATCTTCAGTTACTCTGGGTCTGTAGAGCTGCCGCATATCACGAAACTCCCTCCTCTGCCTCATTTTCCCAGGGACTACTTTATCACCTGTCCTGTGATCGACATGGCCAGGCACTGGGCAAGGAGAGCCCGAGGAAATGTCTTCATGTACCATGCTCCCGAAAGCTATGGCCACAGCAGGTAAGGTTCACTGGCTGTCACCCACCATGTAGCCGCATAGACAGTCTCGTAGGGCTCCGGGTCCATTGTGTGAACTGCAAGGAAGACTGAGGTACAAATCTTGGCTCAGGGACATCAGACATGGCATTTAGCATCTGAAAAATGGGTATATTAGTAATAGCCACATTCTCTCAAGTGTTGTCAGAAGGGCAAACAAAATAACATATGTAAGAGGCACTTTGGGATTCCAACATTAGCTATTGATGGATTGACCTGGCTTGGAGGGAGGAGGCTTCTTTATCAGCCCTACACATTTATACCTCTTAGTTTCACTTAAGAAAATGGCTGCCACTCTTTTTTTTTTTTTTGCAACAAAAGGAATAATCTGTATACCATTCCTACTCTCAAGAGATGTTCAATGTACTTTATAATGAAAGTCTCAGGTGCAGTAAAATCATCACCACGGAAAAGGGAAATAATAAGTAAGTGAAAGAAAGCCCATGATAAGTGAAGGGCCAAACCAGTGGGCACAGAATGTAGCCCTGCCTGTTCCAGAAGCCAAGGGCAAGATTTAAAAATAAAGAACAGGGGCATCTGGGTGGGTCGGTTGGTTAAATGTCCAACTCTTGATTTTGGCTCAGGTCATGATCTCGTGGGTGGTAAGATCGAGCCCCATGTCGAGCTATGAGCTAACAATGGGGAACCTGCTTGGGAGTCTCTCCCTCCTCTCTCTGCCCCTCCCCTGCTCGTGTTCTTGTTCTCTCTTAAAAATAAACATTTAAAAAAAGAAATTAAAGAACAAAGGAAGCAGACAGGCTAGGTGGTTTCTGCCAGATGGAGAGCGGTACAATGAAGGCAGTGCGGCACCTGGACGTCCAGGGTGTTGGAGGACGACTTCATCATGACCTTGACCTTGCAGTCCTGAGCCACTCACCCATATTGGAAAACCCCAACCCCCTTCCCAGCTGGGCCAGCAACTTCCCACATCATCTGGTGTGATTCCCATAAGTCACATCAGATTATGCACTTCACGTGGGAGCGCCTTTGGGAAGTCCTAGCACCCCGCCAAGGGCGGAAAGGTGTGTGCCGTCCTGCTGACCAGCCGTCCAGGGTGAGCATTTGCAGGCAGCAGCAGCTCATGGGGTCGGGTCTCCAAAAGATGCCAGAATTGTTTTATTATTGCCACATGGAGGGAAGACATCAGTCACCCGCATCCGTGGTCTCTTTCGTGGGCAACAGGGAGATGGGGTGTCCCAAGGCCAACTTTAGAGCCGGGGGTCCTACCCCACCACCTGCCAGCTGTGCAGAACTGGGCAGCCTCCTCTGCAACTCTGATCCTCAGTATCTTCATCTACTAAATGAGACTAATGGTCCCCCTGGCAGGGATGACATTCATAATATCTGGGATATAAATTATCCAGCCAAGACAGGGCTTTATCATGTATTACTTTGCAATGACACCAAGGGAACTCTTAAAAACATACACACCTTCTCATTCTGTTTGGCAACCTACCTATAATGGGTGAATGTAGCCATTGAAAGATGCCAGGTCCCAACCCCGGGGGCCTGTAAATGTTGCCTCAGAAGGAAAAAGGGGCTTTGCTGATGTGATTAAGTTAAAGACCTTGACCTGGGAAAATGATCCTGGGTTATCCTGGTGGGTCCTAACTGTGATCACAAAGGTTTCTGCCAGAGAGAGAGAGAGAGAGAGAGACTCAGGAAGATGCACAGAAGAGAGGGAGGGAGTGTGACCGTGGAGGCAGAAGTTGGAGGGAGGCACCCACAAGCCAAGAAACACCAGCCAAGAATCCACGGAATTCCACCAGATTCCAACCAAGGAACCACAAGAGCTGCAGGAGCACAAAATGGCTTCTTCCCAAGAGCCTCCAGGGGAAGCATGTTGACACCTTGACTTTGGCTTCACGTAACCGATCTGGGGCTTCTGGCCCCCAGAGCTGCGGGACCATAAATATCTGTTGTTTTAAGCCACCATGTCTATGCCGGTTTGTTACAACAGCCATAGGGAACTAACCCTGTCTCCCAGACATTCCAGTTTCCCAAAGGCCTCGTTATTTAACTGGTTCCCCCATAGATTATTCAGTCTACATAACACTTCATAAAAACATCCAGAATCCTAGTTGGCAGGATTGAAACGGTCATTGCTCTTTTACAGATGAAGAGTCTGAGGTTCAAGGAGTTCCACGTGATCTCCCCAAGGACCAGCAGCGATCGGTTGTAGGGCAGTGGCTTACCCATAACCTCTCTGAGACCCTAAACTCCCTTTCCACTAAACCATGCGGTCTTTCTGTTTCTCTGCTTGGAACTATTTATGATTCCAACCTGATCCACTTCCTGGATTCAAGCAACTATCCCCATGTGGCAGGAAGGAAAATAAGTGGCAGGCGAAAGTTCTGCTAAGAAGGCATTTGGAAGAAGGAACGGTGAAGACAGAGATGGTTTGTGTGGAAGGACAGTTGCCCTCATCAGGCAGCGGTCACTCACGACCAGGAGTTGTTTGTAGAATAAGCCTCAGTGTGTCTCCCAAATGCCAGGGGTCTCGGGATTCGCACCCACTGCAGGAGTCTGGTTCTCTGCTGTCCACCCTTTTGAGACAGATTACATGAGAAGATATGATGCTCTTGTCGCAAGCCCATCAGAAGCCTTAACAATGTGCACACGCCGTTGGGCTCCAAAGTTTACAGTGGCAAACCCAGAAAGGCATCTGCTCCATCCGGGAAAGATCAATCAAAGCAAAACAGGACAAAAGGATTCAGGTGATTTGGGCCAGAATCGATGATGCTTTGCCCCGCCCCTGTTAGTTTCCTGGTGCCGTAGTTGTGTAGCCCATGCTATGTGGGTTAGAACAATAGAAATGGGTCGTCTCACAGTTCTGGGGGCTGGAAGACCTAAAGCAAGGTGTCTGCAGGGTCATGCTCCCTCTGAAGGCTCTAGGGAAGGATCTGTTCCAGGCTGTTCTGGCTTCTGCTAGCCTCACACATTTCTTGGCTTGTAGATGGCTCTCTTCCTGCTGCATTTCTGTGTCAGAATTTCCCCTTTTTATAATGACACCAATCATATTGGATGGAGACTTGCCTTATGTCCTCCGTCATTTCTACAAAGACCCTATTTTTAACGAAGGCCATATTCTGAGGTCCTAAGATTAGGGCTCCAACATCTCTCTCTCTCTCTCTTTTTTTTTTTTTTAATTTTTGAGACAGAGAGAGACAGAGCATGAGCGGGGGAGGGGCAGAGTGAGAGGGAGACACAGAATCTGAAATAGGCTCCAGGCTCTGAGCTTCCTGCACAGAATCCGACATGGGACTCGAGCCCATGAACCGTGAGATCATGACCCAAACCAAAGTTGTACGCTTAACCGACTGAGCCACCCAGGCGCCCCCAACATCTCTTTTTTTTTAAGGGACACAATTCAACCCATAGCACCGTTCTTCTCCCTAAAGTGATAGCCCTGCTCACAAGCCTCCTGAGTGGCAAGGGCCCAGAGCGGTCTGTGTCAGACCTGAGAACAACGTGGTCCTTGTGTGAGGGCTCCTTGAACAGACTCTGAGTCATCATGCCCCTCTGGGGATCCACAGACAGGGCTCCACTGCTGATCCCGGGAACCCCCACCAGTGAAAAGAAGCCGTGCTCGTGAGCCAGACCCTCATGAAGTGCCTCTTGGGTCTTCATAGTTGCTGTGCTTCTCAGAGCCCAGGGACTCTCTTGGCACAGGATAGTAGGTGCTTAGGAAATCATGTTGAAGCTGTTCTAACTACCTTGTTTGACAATTACGCAGCCTGTCCTTTCCACTCTGGTGTATAGGCTCTTTGGGGCTCAGTTTTGTCACCTGCAAAATGGGAACAGGGAGGTGGGCAAGGTCAGGAGCCCTTGATTCCACACTGGATCCCAGGGCCCTGAAGGAGGAGAGCAACCTTCTCTATACCTTGTAGCCTGAGCTCTGAGTAAAGCATCAAGTTCACGAGTTTAGAGAAGCATGAAACCCGCTGGGCTCAGTCACTCACAAGTGACTTCTGCTCTCACATGCTACCATTTGGGAGGAAAGAGACACTCAGAGCCACCAAAACATTTCACAGATAGGGCTGTTGCAATGAGTACAGAGGTAGAAAGTGTCCTGGTGACGGCAGGTTCTCTGGGCCACCTGACTTGGTTAGAAACCCAACGCAAGTCCCTTAACCTCCTTGATGACTCAGTTTCTTCACCTGAGAAATGGGGATGAGAATGGGGCCTGCTTCAGAGGGCTATTGTGATAATTAACTTGCACAGAGAATGAGGCAGACAGTCAGTGAGGAGGGTGTCCTATTATCCACGCCCATCAGAGAGTGTCCTTGACAACTATCTGCATCTGTGTCATTTTTCCAACCGCGGTCACGGGATGCTTCCTAGTAGATGCTTAAATCACTGAATGAATCCCTGAAACCAGCCCATTTAATCGTTGGCAAGTTTCTCCTTTTTGCCTGAAAAGACATCTCTCTCATTCTGCCCGGAGCTGTCACACCCCTCATTTATTTCTGGCTCAAACCTACAGACTTAAAATATATGTGCCTGCCGTGCATTCTCAGCCATCTGTCTCGTACCTCCATTTCTGTGAGCATATATTAGCTTTCCTGGCATAGCGAGCGCACAAAACGCAATAAATTACCACTTTCTTAAGACTCTTGCTAATTGATCACAGCATGGCATGGTTCTTTAACTGCTCCTGGATTATAGATGAGCTTTGCATCCCTGAAAATGAGGACCAAGCCCTGGGAGGAAAGAATAGGTGTTGTGGATGGGGGAGGAGACAAAGAAACGAAAATGGTTCCATTTTAAGATTTAGATGGAAAGAATCACGGAATATGGAAGACGATCTCATCTGCGTCCTTCATTTTTTAGATGAAGAGACAAAAGCCTGAAGTAAGGAATGTGTCCCAGCCCCAGAGCAGATCAGTAGCGATCTGGACCCAAACCCTGTCTCCTGCCCTCTCTCCAGTTTTGTTTTGTTTTGTTTTTCAATCATACCCTTC